ATGAATTATGAGACTTACTTTATCGTATTCTAAATGAGATTTTTTTTCATAAAAATTGTATGTGTTATTAAAGAGATTCTTTGACAAATATGATTGATGTATACATATTTTACAATACAATATTTATCTTCTTTTTTTTCTATTTTATCGAATCTCGAGAAATAATGAAACAGAGAACAATTGAAGTATTAAGGAAAAAAAAAGTTTCTTTTACGATCCGGAAGTAGCTTTCTCTTGCTCTATGTAGAAGAAAGAGGATGATGATGATGATGTCCTTGGCGTGAACCGATGAAGACAACAACGCCAGGAGAAAAGAAAGGGAGAGAGACAGAGAGAAAAAAAATGGAAAAACATATATTTTCTTAATTGAAAGAATAGACAAAGAAAGAACTGAAAGCAGATAGAATCTTTGGGATAGTCTTATCAAAAATAGAAAAATAATCGAAGAAAATATAAGAAAAGAAAATGGTGATTGTCTATAGCTAAGGAAATAGATCAAACAGTTTACAATAACGAAAAAGAAAAAACAACATTTCTATTTTGCTTTAATTTTTTTCATAGTCCAATTGGACAAAAATCGAACGGTAGTAGAATTGTAAATGAGATGCTTGTTGATTTAAATCAAATTCTTTCTTTTTTTTCTAAGACGTATGGAACTATAACAAAAACAACACAAACAAGAAGAAAAAAAAAGTGCTTATTTCAACCAAATAGAATTCAATTCTCAAAGTAAGAAAGAAAAAAACTCAATCCGCCAAATAAAATGATTGAAGTGGGCAATTTACTCTATTCTCTTTCTCTCAATATATATATATATATCATGATTAAATTGTGTGTATGTTCACCCATCTTACTCTATATTTGTCAGATATACATGTAATACACAGTTACTTACATATATAGAAATGAGTATGTTATATTTGTTCTACGTGCTCTATATCTCATATAATGTAATCTATCATATGTGTTTAATAAAAAGAAAAAAATTATATAGTTATTTTGATATTAATTACAGTAGTAGAAATGTGCGTATTTTTGAAAATAAACGTATCAGCTTATAGAATTTAGTCATTTGAGAACAACAAAAAAAAACTGTCCGCATTAGTAACAGTCGATTAACTCACTTTAACGAGACGTTTTGAGCAAAACATCAGTATATGCAACACTCGACTACTGTTTTTTTTTTTTTGTATAATACGGCCCGAAAAATCTTTTGTTTCTTCTCTCTTTTCTTCAAGTATCATGCACCATGTGTATGAGTCACGTATTGAGTGGTATTAAAGTTTTTTTTCTTTCTTCGTTTGTTTGTAGGATAGTTCAGTGATTTTTTTTTCTTCTTCGTCCTTCATTTTGCATTTATACACTATAATATGGCATAGTAACATTTTCTCTCTTTTTTTTATTATTATGATTATTATTATGAGGCGTCAGTTTAATGTTGTCTGTTAAAGAAGACACACAGTATAAAATAAATAAAAGACATTCTTAATTTTCAATAATAACAAATTGAGTTTCTATACATATCCGGTCGATATGAACTTTAATTAAATGATAAATAACTATAAGAAAAGAAGATTCAATTTCCGTCAAAGCTATACATATATATATATCTAATTTGCTAACTCAAATGATGAGCCTACTATTTAATATTGTTAAAAAGATAATTTTTCATAGTAAGTACACTTGAAGGTCTGTTACATATCAAGAAACGTTCAACAACGAGGACAAACACACTCTCATATATATATATATCTCGCTATCATTTATACAAGGTCATCTTATCAAACATTTCTATGTTAATAGCACATACATCTTTTGGGTTCTTCCGCTTTCGTTCATACACTTAACGGAAATTATTAACAGGTGCATTATTCAATTTCCTTAGAGAAATAAGTAATACATATTAAGGTCAGCTTAAATAAACCTTTGACCTATCTCTATATGTATCATGGGAGCTACCAAGAACTTTCATATATATATATATATATATAAATGAATATAGAAAATAAATTAAATCATAGTTTTCTTTTAATATAAGACAATATACAAATACCTTTATTATTGATGACATTGAAAATAGTATAACAAAATAGTGAGCCGTGTGATTAGCCAATGAAAGCTACAAATCAACTATTCTGAATAAATACTTTTTTTCTGATGATAGATATATAATACATAGATGTATTGATTTGACGAAATGCAAGAATAGATAATATAAACAATCAATACAATACAAAAAAACAATGTCTTTAATATATAGCTAGCCTTGGGTAAAACAAAATAAGCTCGATTGATTACAAGACTAAGTGAAGACAACAAGGTCTCTGTTAATATATTATTGAACCTATTAGCATAGATAAGTAACAAGTTTTTAAAGTAAAGGACATGAGCAGAATAAATATTATAAACATTTCTACATAACCGATAGATGAATTGTATCGATTGTCAATTATTAGGATTATGTTTCTTTTGCGATAGAAATCATAGATCAATACTTTTGAGAATGAATCTAACTGCTAAATATAATGCACAAATATATACCGTTGATATTAAAAATAGTTTCTATGATCAAATTATATATTTCTCTTTGCATTTTATAGAAAAGAAATGATTATTCAATTGAAAATATGTATATAAATGTTTATTTAACATTTTTTGTACAGTTAATTAGATGTGACTTAAGACACATAGTTCATTTATGAATGACATATATTTTACTTGTCTAATCAAACGCAATAAATAACTTATTATCAAAATATTCGTATTTAAATTGATATTACGACATTCGCTAATAGTCGTTTATATTTGCAGTTTTGCAGATTTGTTTATTAGATGCTGCACATATATTCTTATATGCGTCGAGAAAAAAAGCTTCAGTATTCTGAATCATAACTTATCAATAAGACTTTTCTAGATTTTGTTTATAGTATTAATGAGAACGATAGTGAAGATTTATTCTTCCGGATTATGCTTTTCTTTAGATTCAATCAGAGTGTACTTAATGCTCACGAATGATGTCGAGACTTTATCAATCTCTGATTTGTTTGGATTGCATATCTAATTTACGTATATATATATAGATCAATGACTAACAGAGATCCTAATTAGTTAATTATCAAAAGATAGAATAAAGCCCTTACGTGATTTATGTAAAAAAGGATTATGAAAATAAGCTCAAATATATATTTATATGTATTTCTATGAAAACTCATCTCATGCCAATTTTAATCAGAATTCGATAAATGACAAGGATAGTTCTTTGTGCAGTGGGGATTTTCTGTTATCTTTTATTTGTTGAGAGTATTTTTAAAAATATGTTTATTATGTAAGCTTTAGAAAATAAAATATATTATTTAAATAATCCATTAATGATGAATTAGATATGTTAATAAATTTAAAGATCAATAAATAAAAATTTATACACCGTCATCTAACTTATTAGAAAATTTTCCATAGAATGCTAAAGATATTGGGCAGATACAAGATAAGTATCCATGTACTAAGACAATTCTAAGTAACGTACCCTATCGCGATTCTATGACAAAATAGTGACAGGGGTACCCGAAAAAGTACCCTGCTGTTGATTGATTCAGGACATTCACTAGGATTGTACCATTTAACACAAAAACTATGTACGACATGCATATGCTTGCTGTCCTTCTATCTTTTCTTCTGACTTCAGCTTAGAATCGAAAAGATGGACATGATACAATTTGTTTAATATGTAAATGATGATATAAATACAAATGAAAGACTTTGCTATAAAAGAAATCAAAATATTGGGTTTTGGAAATCAACGGTCGAAGCATTATACACTCTATACTGAAAATAGGAGAATAGTTTATTACAGATGCAACAAAACCAATTATCACAGATCTTAATTTAGAGCATGTATTTACTTGCTATATCATTCATAAAGTGAAAAAAAAGGTTACTGGTGATAAAATTAAGACAACGTAGATCGGAACAGTACGATCTTAAACACTTGTATGGCTATGAGATACATAAAAAAAAAAGCGGTTCCAACTTTTTCAGACTCGAATCCGAACCTAGTCGTATCTGAAACCAACCAAACGAGCTCTAGCTGTTAGTTAAAGAAACAATGTCAACAAAAATCGATGATTTAAGAGGTCGAGCAGGACTAAAATTAGTATTATGACAAGTAATAGTTCATGAAGGAGTACTAGATAAACATATTTTGTTGAATATAATGAAATTTTGTTAAAACGACTACAGTTTTATCTTTTTCTTTGTTTTGCTTCATAAATTTGCTGTTCATGGTAGAAATGCTTTAATCGCGATGGAGTAATTACAGAAGATTTTCGAAAAAAATATTAGCAGAAGTATAGAATGTCTTTTGAAAGTTTTGTTTTGTGTTCAAGATTCGGATCATCATAATATCGAAGAAATTCGCTCCAGATCATTGGGAGCTCTGGTACGATCATAATCTATGCCATATTCGATCGTTTATGACTGTTGCTATGCTTATTCTTGATGAACATGATGATCATAAGAATGTGTGGATGTGAATGAAATGAAAATCCATTTGAGTTCACATCCATATCTAAGCCCTATTTTATATGTACAAGAAAACACTCTATTAGTAATATCTGCTGTTTCTATTGCTGCTAATTATATATAATAAACTGATCATTTTGTAATTAAATAATCATAACTTGGATATCCAGCATTTAGTCTTTATCCGATTCATTTATATATGTTGTAGTGACTGTCTCATCTATTTTACTGATCACTTAAAATCATAGACTAAACTTTAATATTTAGAGTTTTTTGTATTGAACTTCTTAAAGTTTGAGACAAGCGACATCTAAATATTGTACATGATTTGGAGCAAGTAACCAATCATGCTTATGTTTCTCTTGTTTGGGTTGTGCAACTTTTCAAAATTAGTTTACATGACTATGTAAATTACGAAATTACTCTATATATAAATTACCTCTTTCAGATCTGATCGATGCCTTTTATCATAAATAATCAAAATGGCATGGTCATTAACGAAGAGAAACTCCAATTCATCAAAAGAGCATGTAAAACTTTGTGTTTGCAAATATTTTATTAATTGTTTGTTTAATCGTTTAAAATAGACTGATGATTTGGAGTGGACTAAAGATATCAATAGTAATTCGTTTTTAGCTGAAGAACGTCGTCTTCTGAGCTCTGAACGACATTCATTGCAAAAGCCTATTACAAATCAAGTGTCTCAGAAACGCTTAAATAAATTTAATATTCTTGTTAATCAAATGACACCTGAACAACTTGATAAAGAACTAAAAAAACGACAATTATCAACAAGGTTGTGAAAAAGAAAACAAAGAAAACAACAATCTAAAATTTAGTATTTGAAATTTTTCTTATTTTATTGTAATTAGCGGTGAAATTGAAATTCAACGCTTTCGTTTAAAACATCATTATAAACTGGAATTAATCTATGGATGTGAAAATCCATTAAAAATGATTGAACAACATTTTGAATATCTTGCTGTTGTTGATTTTGAAGCAACCTGTGAGGATAAACAAGTAAATTATCAACATGAAATAATCGAATTTCCAATTGTATTAATTGATGTACAACAACAAATTATTGTAAATTATTTTTAATAAAATTGATAAAGAAAATAGTCTTTTATTTTTTTTCAATAAGGTCGATCAATTTCAATCATATTGTCGTCCGATAATCAAGCCAATTTTATCAAAATTTTGTACAGAATTAACGGGTATTGAACAAGTATGTATTTAAAAAAAAGAAACCATATTATAGTAAGAGATATCAGGATTTATTGCCTATGAGATGCGAATCTACATTATGAAAATATTTATGTGATTAGAAAGGGAATATAACCAACTGTTGGACGTTCTTCGATTCTATATTGTGACTACGAGTAAGTCTTGATAACATTAAATAAAATAAAAGGAATTCTTTTTCTGTTGAGATATGGCTAAACTATCGAATTTTTAATAGGTCTATTTTCTAGAGGACTCCAAGTTTTTGGAAAACTTGCGCTATGGAATTTTGATCTGAGACTTTGTGCATTTAGAGGAATCAGTTAGACTAGCTTCTATAAAAAGTTCAGAAGTTTTGAACAAAGTCTCTTCAACATATAAGACTTTCAAGATATAGATCCTTTGGATTTTTAAGTGAAATATTAGAAAAATCAATTTTGTGGAACGAAGCCGTTTTAATCGTTTGACTACATAGAGTGTATTGGAATATGTATGTATGATAAAATTTACGCACGTGTAAGACAATCCGTTTTTCGAGAAATTTATGTTTCTTTGAATGGGTAGTGTTAGCACATAGATAAAGAAGGATGGGCTATGTTTAGAACAGATATAAAAAGTTCGATTGTTCAGTTCACTATCGATTCGGTCGTATCTCTCGTGTAATAACCCATAAAGAAAGAATAGAAATACATAGAGATAAAGAGCAATGCTGTCTCATGGCCAACATTTTTAAGTAGACTGAAACAGTATCATTAGAGACATTTATAAGTCAGTTGCGAGTTGATTCGAAACTATCACGTATATATGCGTGACCTGTCTTGAAAGGGTTAATATATACAAATCATAACAACCATGGCAAATGCTTTTTTTTAATGAAATTTCATGTTTGGTTTTTTACTATCTATTAACATATTTCTCACAAAAAAAAATATGTTCTTTAGCATCAAGTTGATAATGCCCCTTCATTTGTTGAAGTTCTGCATAATGTTGAAACATGGTTAAATAAACGAAATCTTTTATCAACAACAAATCAACGTAAATTAGCATTTGCTACTGATGGGTATCAAATAAGAATTAGTGTGTTTCTCTTTTGGCATAAAATTATCTTTTTTTTTTGTATGTTAGTCCATGGGATTTTGCAAATTTTCTTCGAATGCAATGCCATTTAAGTTCAATAACTTATCCACGATGGGCTAAAAAATGGATTAATATTCGAAAAGAATTCGCTAAGTTTTATCCCGTACATCGATGTGGTATAGAATCAATATGAATTTTTTTATTTTCTTTGTATAACATTTGGATTTTTAGGCATAGAGAAAATGTTAAAAAATCTTGGTCTTAGTTTTGATGGTCGTCCTCATTCAGGTATTGATGATGCCATCAATATTGCACGAATAACATTGGAATTATTGAAGGTTTGTCTTCTACAAGATCATACTGACTTAATTAATATCTTTTTACTTTCAGGATGGTTGTATTTTATCATTGAATGATGAAATACGTGCATCTGATCCAAAATTTGCAGCAATCACTGATAAAAACACTGAATTCAATGAGGATACTGATGGCGAAGATGATCAAATAGTCTTTGAAGATTAAACAATATTCTGTTTTTTTTACTTCTCTTATATAATTTGTTACGGTTGAATAAACAAAATAAAACAAGTTCTTTAATATAATTATTTTTAGAATCAAATTAATTATGATGTTTTGATTCAATTGAGTTGATAGATTTATCATCTACTGATATTGATAAACATAATAGATTCTGAACAAGTAAAGTAATGCTTACATCTCGCAGAAGTTCTTTTACTTTGTATACTTCTTCATAAATATCCAAAGTCACAAATTGATATTTTTATTGGTGTTATTGAAAATGGTAGTCAGTATTTTCTTTCAGTTATATTGTTGTTTTAATTGATGCTTGTATTAAATTTATATGATACAGCTATGCCAAATCAGTATTTATTTTATTTTATATGGTAAATTTAGAACGGGTATCATGTGTATTTTTTGATGAGGAATCAGCACTAAAAGAAATTAAGGGTAGTCCCTCCTTGTTGGCGATTTTTGGTTTTCGAAGAGGATACAACTCATCTGCATACAATTTCTACGACACATAGAACAGCTAAAATAAGGAGACATATGTTCGAAGATAAACATTTTAAACAAGGGTCTTGCAATTTGTTTGAGAAAATCTTGTTTTTTTATAGAATCATATCAATCGTTCTTACGAACCCCGCATAAGATTATCCGAACGAGCTGAAACTTCGATCGCAGATACTTTCAAGTATTCTTCAGAGATGAAATTAGTTGTTTTTGTTCTCGACTTTTCTATCTGAATTTATAGCACTCTGAATAGCAATAATTTGGTTTTGGATTCGAGCCTTTACATATTTGTCATATGAGACAAAATTGCGACATGTTTGACAAAGCTTAAAACCGTCTCTAAGATATAGTTTAAAGCATCTCAAACAAATATTCAGGCCGATCAAAAAAAATTAGACGAGAATCATAAGCAGATTCGATATGTTCCTATGAAAAATCAAAGTTTCTCGAAAAACTCGCAAAAACCTTGTTTAGCATTTTTCCTCCAATGTGTTTCTTTACTTTAGGTGCTCTATCTATGGTAAGAATTTCATGCGAAGCAGCTAAACCCTCTTCGAGAACCAGAAATGACCAAAACAAGAGAGGAGTGTTCTTAATACAGTTACTGGTAAAAGTGTGAAAGTAATGTCAATGGTTACATAAAGCGAATCGTAAAGTGATTATTAGTGAGCTTAAATCAATCAATCAAAAGACAATCCAAATGAATCGCAAGATATCTGTCACAATCTTTGGGGGGGGGGGGGGGGGG